ATTATTATAATTTATAATTTTTCATTATAATTAAATTATAATTATTATTATAATTATAATTTATTATAATCTATTATATTTATAATTATAAATTAATATTATAAAAAAATAAAAAAAATAATGTCCGGCCAGCTCTTGACCTGCCGGCGGGGCCGGATGAGCTTCCGGCCACCCAAGACGACCAAGTGGGAACACGTACGGACGTCGGGGCCTTATGTTTTTTGGGCCGTCCGGACCGGCCGACCGGACGGCTCCGCCGCGTCCGGAAGCGACGGCCAGACGCGGCAACAATTTTTTAAAAAATAAAATCGAAAATAATTTACAACAAAAAAAATATATATATATATTTTGACGGAGAAGAATCCTTTCCCGATGCCGTAGGATTTTTTCGGAATTTTTTGAAAGCTCGAATGGCTCGTTGAAAGTTCGAAAATTTAGAGAGATAGAGAGTTTAGGAAAATAGATGGAAAAAGGGTTAAGGGCAAAATAGTAAAGGGGGGGAGGGCGGTGAGTAGTAATAGGGGGACGGTGAATAGTGAATGAGTTTAACAATTGTCCTGCAATACAACTAGTTGTGTCAGTGGCGGAAATAGGATTTTAAAATACCTAGGGCAAACAAAATTGCAATCTTCAATTCTTTTTAGATTTAAATTCGGCGATTATAATACCGTTATTAATCTTTTCGACTAACTCTCTTTCAATGTAAATAACCGTTGAATCCACCAAATACTCCTCTGCCATTTTTATTACGAAGAACAGTCTTAACAAGTTTCATAGTCGAAAATCCTCGCTCTGTAGTGGCAATAGACACAGGGAACAGGGAGAGTCAAAACAAAAAGAATTAGCCAATCAAAAAAATTAAATAAATTAGATAAAATGAATATACTATAATTTAATTAACAAAAATGACTTGAGACAATCATTGTACCTGTCAATCAAGTTGTAGATTTTTTATTTATTTGTCTCTACCAATCTTTGACATAATTCAAAAATAGTCGATAAGTCTTGAAATCTCTTATTAGTAATGGCGTCAAGCTCATAGTGGTTCAATTGCAATCTCAAATAGAGCAAATATTGAGCATCAAAACCAAGAGGATAGAAGCGTTCGGCAAGACGATGGATATGATCCCCATTGAACAGTTTAAAGCCTTCTTTCGGTTCCAAAGCACAACTAAGCTTAAGAAGTTCAACCGCTTCATCCTTGAATCTACTATTTTTTTTTCCTTAAAACAGTTGAGTTAGCATGCATATTTGATTGTCTGATTGTAGTGTATTTAAATGTGATTTTTTTATTAGAGCAAATATGCCAATATCACCCCTACATAAAATTATTGAATGCATTGAGCCTATGTGGCAGACTCTCATACTTCAGAATCCTACGTGGCGAAAAATCTTGCTTCGGTGTCAGCCTGGATATAAATTAATATTTTTTTATAAAAATAATTAGTCTTGGATTCCATTTAATGTCTATATTATTCATATTAAATCCATGATTAATTTTTTCCTTATTTTCTTCTACAATTAATTACCATAAACTATTTCATGTTTCTTTTTCCCACATTACCATATATTACGATTCATTTTCATATTTAATTGATACATCAATTATTATAAATATTTATTTTTCTTATGTTTAAATTTTATAACTTTTTAATTTGTATTTTATTTTTCATATATGATATATCAAATTAATTATCTTTTAACGACCTTCTATTTGACATTCATATTATATATATATATATAATACAAAATATTGATATCTTATAAATAAAATTTAAATTTATTTACCAAACTAAAGTATAAAATATCAAATAAAACTATAATTTAGCTTGTAAAGTAATAGAAATTTGTGTGTAATAACATACCATAAAATAGTTGTTTTATGTGAAAAAAATATGTAAACTAACTATGAACATCAAATTAATATACAAAAAATATTCTAAGGTTTATGTTTCAAATTAAAATAGTTATTTTTGGAATTTATTTTTTTCATTTTGGCAATATATTACATACCGGTTTTTCTTTCTTNTTCTAGACGGTTGCTCGATCCTAGGCGGAGGATTGTCAGCGAATCGGTCGCCGGCAGGTCCTCAGGTGGTCATCGTCGCCTTAGCGATCTGTTTCTGGTCTGCGAACTACGGGTCCCTCTCGATTGGCATCGCCAGTTCCGGTGGAGCTGCGGGTGGAGTTCGGCCTCCAGTTGTCGGCGATTTGCGGTGGCGAGGTGTGTGGTCTATTTGTGGGGTGGGGCTTTGGCAGTGTCTTGGTGGGGCGTGTCCTTCGCCGTGGTTGCTGGAGTAGCGGAATGTACTTCTCCCTCCCTCCCCTGTCGGCTAGTGGTGTTAGGCGGTGGGGTACCTGGTTCTCCCGAGCTCGGCTAGTGGTGTTAGACGGGTTCGGTGGGGCTAGTGTGGGGGCTGGTGTTTGTTCTCTTGGTTGGTGACGGGTCGATTCTGGGATTGGTTCGGGCTCGGAGTTGGCTATTATGTAGGCGGTTGCGCAGTTTCGGTAGTGGTTCTTCGGGCTTGGAGTCTCTCTTGTCTCAATTGTGTTAGTGTTATATACTGAAAGCTTGACTTTGCATGTTATTACACATTTGCTCTTTATGAATGAGAATCATGTTAGATTAAATAAGTTCTACGTTCTGTTGTTCTGCACTTAGATAGAGTGGGTCGTCATAGGGCGAACCGAAGATCATTCTATCAGTTACTTGCAAACAAGAATAGTTGTTCACAACCTAGATGGACATGAACACCCCATCCGAACGGTAGTATCAACTGTACAGTTTGTCTTGACTGATTAGTTGCACTAATACATTTATGTATTGAACATGATCCCAGAGAGGAGAAGTTCATTTTATACTGATTGTCGTAAATGAACTAGGCCTCAGTTAAATACTGTGTTCTCTTAACCCGTAAGATATTAAACAGGCAGATATATATAATTTATATTACTTTGATTCACATGGGTGAGGTTCAGTTCGCTGGATTAATATTCCTACTGTTTTGGGTAATATTATTATATATAGAATGTGCTGTTAGGATATTTATAGTCACCATGTGCGTTAGTTTGATGATGTCCCCGGAGTGAGTTCATGAAGGATTGTTATGCTAAACCCTGCAGGTGGATTAAGTTCCGGCATAATAAGAATGTGATGAACGAGCGCTAGCTTCGGTGAAATAATAATAAATTAATTAATTTTTGATTGTCAGTAATCGAATTAACTAATGGATATTATATCTTAAACGTGGAGAGGTAAATCGAGTAATTATTATTGGAGTCTCAAATGTAATTTGGGCTAGAAAAAGGGAGTGCAATAATATAATGTTGGTGACCCATTAATATTATTTAATTAATTAGAGGAGTGGGCTTGGCTCATAGTTAGTCTAATTAATTAAGAAGCCCTATTCTTAATCTCCTAAGTGTCCCTACTGTAGCTCTATATATACACCATTAAGCTCAGGAAAAGAGAAGACATCTGTCATTATTAATAATACACGCCCCACGCCTCTTTCTCTCTAGATCTCATTCGAGCTTTATCTTCTTCCTATTGCTCCACTGATACAAGTTGAAGAATGGTGTATTGAGTAATACAGTAGAAGATCTGTAGGTAAATCGAGACGAAATATATTTTATCCTACAGAACTAACCGGAGGTCCGATTGAGACTCACAGCATACCCAGACGACCATCTCGACGAGAGCTTTTCATCGCCGCCGAGATCGGCGAATTCCGCCGCCGTACACGCCATCACGCGCCACCGGAAGGAGCCTGACTGCAAGATTCGTCTTCATCTGTTTGCACCCGTTTGATCCGTTTTTATTTGATCTTGTTCGTGCAACCAAAGACGTGATTTGCGGTCTATCATTTGCGGTCAACCGTTCGTGGTCAACTAGATCTACATAAATTTTAAGCCGTAAGTTTTCTACGTCAAACCTTTAGATCCGCTGCGCATAGGTTTACGTTTGCTATTGAATTCGTGACTTGTACATAACGAGATCCTCATAGATCCCAACAGATTGTTCAATGTTGGTTGGGTCGGTTCGATTGCTGGGGGAAGGGCTTCGTGTGTTTTTGTTTTTGTAGTTCTTGTTTTGTGTTGTTTGTGTTATTTTTGTGATTGTTAATGTGTTTTAGGTTTGGGCCGTTGGCCTTTGTGAACCCGAGTGTCAAACTTATTATCCTGTTGGGATCCGACACTCGGGCATTACTCTATTGGGATTCTTGTTAGTTGTTTAGTTTGTTGTTGTTAGTGGCTTTAGTGTGCGAGTTTGTCTTTCTAGCGTTGCTAGCAGGCTCTAGGCGATCTCTGGATCTGCCTCCCAGTTTTTCAGTCTTTGGTTGTACTATTCAGCCTTTGGCTGTTTTTTCTTCGCACTTTGTTCGGTTATTTTATTAATATAGTACATCTATCATTTCGGAAAAAAAAATTTACATATCAAATTTAAACCATACAACTAATAAAATAATACCCGCAATATTTGACCAAAATGATTTTGTACATGAACGTTAACAAATGTGGATGTCCTAGTGNGCAAAAAAAAAAAAAAGTGCGAAATGGGCCGCAAGGGGCAAACCAAAATTTTTCAGAAAATTGCCAACCCGCCCCAAATATCAAAATGCAACTAAGCAAAAAATCTAAAATTAGCGAAAAAGACCCATACATTTTTTGTATGATTGGAAACACTTTTGTAACGAACGTTTGACTATAAAGTTCATTTCCTATATCAAAAGATGTTTGATGTAATACTAAAATAGACTTCTAAAAAATTAACTCCACAAATCATACATCTCCACAAAACCCGAAATCAACGTCCCCTAAACTCCTCTCCTTGGACAACATCAAAAGTACTGGTCATCGTCAAGAAGCAGCCATAGATAGATGAGGAAAGCTACAAGTATACTAAAGAGGAATTTAAATTGAGAACTAAGCCATCTCATCAACTAGGGATGGAAGTAAGACAAACACTTCATGATTTTAACCTAGAGACAAATTGAGGAAAGTAGTTTTTTTATGCATCCCAAGCAAAATGGTCCAAAATTACTCGTCTAAATTCTGACAAAATTTATTTTCATTAACGCATTTGGCATATACCTCCACAACTGATCTTAAGATTACTAACAAGATTTACTTTCATTAATGCATTTGGTGTACCTAAACAAGTAACACAACAGCGTGAAACAAACATAACTGATTGGTAAGAGCTTACTTAACCATGTTTTGGAACCTAGATTACAATTGACCATTATGTCAATCACAATAAAACATCAGTAACAAGCAATAATATGGAGCAAAAGTAATAGAATATACATATATCATTTTTATGCAGTTTAGCACTTTTGTAATATTTGTACAGAAAGTGTGTTTTACACTTCTTAAGTTGTTTTCTTTACTAGCACTTTTAGTCTTCTTAGGGTTTAGTATAAATAGCCCCTTCATCTCCATTTGTACACTCTTTTTTCAGATCGTTTTACCCTAATTCATCTTGCGCAGTTTTCCTTTTCTCTTCAACAATTCTCTCTGTGTTTTATGATTTTATCTGAAGATCCATAGATCTGATAAAAAGTAACAGAATATAAAACCAGATTCATCATGCTATGAGAGAAAATAGGATTAACAATGATGGGACTAAATAAGATCTTCAAACATCCAAATAACTCTTTTCCAAAACCATTACATTATCAAAATAGGACAGGCAACCACAGTATTTCAATAAGTTCAAAACTTAAACAGAGTTTTAAACAATAGCATTCGCAGCACTAGCAATTCTCGGCCATAGATCAGCACACTCCTTCCCAATAGGTCCGGTTATTGCTGAACCTGCACAATCAAAATAATAATAAAGAATATACGGATATGAAAGAACAAATGAAAAATTATTTACTTAAGAATGCATTTACCTTTCATTTCACCCTTGGGATTCACAATGACACCAGCATTGTCTACAAAAAATGAGTAAATTCAAAAGCAATAATTAGAAAGGCTAAATTGGGAGGTGGAGCAGCAAATAACTCCAATTGATTGAACTCCGTCTACAATCAATCAATCAATCAAAATGCAACCTAAGAACTACACATTGAACTGTAGAACCTCAATTTGCATCCAATAAGCTCAAAATCTCACCGAGACAACATATCAAATTCAACAGGAGAAGCTACAGATACTATACCTTCGAAGTACATGTAAACACCGTCCTTTCTCCTCCATGGCTTGCGCTGGCGGACGATGACGGCGGGCATAACCTTCTTGCGGAGATCGGGCTTCCCCTTCTTCACAGTGGCCATCACCATGTCGCCGACGCAGGCGGAGGGGAGCCTGTTGAGGCGCCCCTTTATCCCCTTCACGGATATGATGTACAGGTTCTTCGCTCCGGTGTTGTCGGCGCAGTTCACCGTGGCCGCCACAGGCAGACCAAGCGACATCCTGAACTTGTTACCCGCCGATCCTCCGCGTCCTGCGAAAGAAAGGAACACACCATTAATTTTTTACCAGACCAGGTGAAAATAGTGAAATAGGGTTTGCGTGAAGGAGATCTCGCACCTCGCTTCGACATTTTCGACCTCTCTGCAGCTCAAGAAGACACACTTGGGAAATGGAATCGGAGAGAAGTAGATGGCGTGGCTCTTTTATACGGTCGAAATGGGCTAGGGTTTTGTCAAAAATAGTGGGGGGGGGGTTCATGGGCTCGAGTACAAATGATCTACTCTGATGATTGTAGGCCTTCCGTTTGGGCTTCAAATAAAGCCTCAACTTAGTTATTGTTGGCAAATTAAGAAACTTTACACAATTCACATATACATTCTATTTATTGTATATTAATATATTTTTAATTTTCAATTGCAATCATACTAATTTTTTTTGGGTTTATCAATGGTTGACTTATGGTTTATTTATGTCATTGAGTTCTAAAATGTTACATTTATTTATGTCATTATATATGATTTAATTTTAAATGTCGTATTTTTATAAAGATGTGTTGTAAAGAGGGCCAGCATTTAAAGGCATTCTCTTTAAAAATAAATGGTTAGTCAACTCTATCTGGGAATAATTGAACTATTATCGTATTTTTTTTTATGTTCGCTATAGTTTCAAAAGTCATTTATTTGTCTCGATCATCGTAATTTTATGAGTTGATTTAGATTAGGCGATTTTATGAACGGATGTGACAGGATTCTCGGCCCTACGCCTTGGGTTGGGCCTACTTTTTCCTGTTTGCTCTATTCGAGCGAGATTAGCTGTCTTTTCCTTGTGGGCGGCAGCAGCGTGATTTGGGGTTGGGCTGTAGTTTTTGACTGCACTGGCCTGACCCCTTCCTTTTACCGCCGATGGGTTGAGCGTTCATCTTCTTCGGCGTTTTCAACAAATTCATCGCTGGTGCCCTTTGCGTTTACACTGCAAGGACTTGACTTAAGCGTGTAGTTACAATCAAAAAAAAAAAAAGGCTCCCCATTCCTTTCGCGAACTCTGGGCATGGAACACCGCTACAAAATTTATTGGAGACGCGGCGGTGCACGGTGCACGTATGTGCGACAACATGTGCAGGTGCAGTGGTACGCGGTTGTTATGCCTGCTGTTGTAGCTGAGATTAGGCGAACGATTCATCGCTCGTTGGCGCCATTTGCTATCGAATTTTCAGAAAAACGGGAAAAGCAAATGTTTTTTGATGTGTCTGTTCACAAGTTGAAAACTGACTCCAAGCAAATTATGAAGTCATTCCTCTAGCATCAAACTATTGATATAAAAATGTGTCAACACCAAAATATCCATCGAATTTTGTATGAAAAATGAAGAATCAAAATGATCATAGATGAATGCTCTTTTACTTTTATTTTTTGGAAGAATTTTTTTCTTCCTTGGTGATCCATCATCCTCCAATAATTGAGGCCATTCCCCTCATATCTCCAAACATATTGGGCCCCTCTAATAAAATAATACGAACGACATTTAATGTGATGTGACCGCGTGGGACCTGTTTATGACATTTGACGATTTGGATATACGCTTGTTTTGTTGGTAATAATGACACTTGTCGGAGACGACTTCTTTACGATACTCGGGTCGGCCGAATACTTTAGGTTCTACTGGAAAGTGGACGTGTTTGACATTTGTGGACCTGATCAGTCGAAAATAAACCCAGTTGGCATCTGGGGGTCAAATTGGAAAACCTATCGTTTATATGCTTATTTACTCGGTATTTTAACCCCTTGTTTACTTTGACACGTCACTTTTTTTATTAATCGCAACAAAATCGGGTATCAACAATATGGAAAAAGCAAAATACAATAAGAGTAGTGTGCCATCTTAGGAACTAGGTGGTCGACCCATGTAGCCATGCAAAAATCCAACTTTTGAGGATGAGAAGTATATTTTGACTTTTCATGACGAGACTGGTTGGGAGGTGGCTTTACTGGTTTAATTAGCAGAGGGCGTTCACACTCTGCAGAGAGATCATTGATGATCTTTGGAGAGATCAACACGAAGTTAGGTGCATGAGATCAGCACAGATCTTAGCGTTTTGAGTCGGTCTGACCTGCCTTGTGGGATGGATCATTCTTGCATCAGGGTCCCTGTTTATTTCAGATGGGTTAGACTTCTGAGAATGAGTATAACAACTACCACTCCATCTTCCACCACTCCAATCTAGATCCGCTGGATTTTCACATCAATTTCTGTTCTTCCCTCCTATGGAAAAATCCCCGAATCCAACAGCCGAAACCCTTGTTTTTCTTGGCCTCCTCTTCAGTCGTGGGCTACGACCCTTCACGGGCCTAACGGGCATCGTGGTGTCCTCTTTCTTTCCGTCTTGCCTCAACTCTTGTTCCCGAAGCGACGGTTCTTCTGACAATGGATGGCTAGGACGGGGATTTCTAGCAACTTGGTGGCGTGGAGGGAGGCAAGCATTGTTCGCTTCAAGTGGTGGACGGGGTTTTGGACGGCGCATCTCATTCTCTTTAACCTTGTTTAGTTTCCCTGGGGTTGGGACCCGGCGGGGGCTTTGCTGCCTGGTGTTTGGCGTCGTGGTATTTGAGGGTGTGTTGGGGAAGAGTGAGGGTTTGGCTTCCTGGTGTGGTTTCGGTGGAGATCCCCTAGGAAAGAGGGATCTGGATCGGGTGTTGTTGGATGTAGTTAGCCAGCTCCTCTTTGGAGACAAGAGTTTCGAAATCTGCATCTCGGGCTGTGGTTTAGCTTTTCTCGGGTTCGTTGTCGGGTGTTGGCTCGTGTTGGAGGTTTGGAGAAGCAAGTCGGCTATGGAGTAGGATTTTATTGTAGTTGTTGCATGTTTTGTTGTTTGGGTATGTGTTAGTTTTGTAAGTGTTTGTGTTTATTGTGGTAATTATTCTACTTCATAGGAACGTGTGCTCTCCACTTGTGGGAGTAGTAATATTAGTGTGAGTTTTGTTAGTTTTAGATTAATCTTCCCACTAGATTCAGCTTAGTAGCTACTTGGTTATTCATAATTGTTGTCTAGGTGTATTATGTATTTCTATCAATATAATAAAGAAAATCTTTTATTTTATTCGGTTTCTTTTCCGTATCTAACTAATTGAGATTTACCCTAATTGGGATTTTCCCTTTTGTCAAATTGGGATTTTCTGTTTATGTTATTACCACCTGATGTAAATTTGCCGTCTGCTTGGTATTTTTTTCGGTTTGAACTTTGAAGGATGTAACTAACATGTTTGAAAAGAATTATGTCATACAAATGATAAATTGATAAAGCGAAAACGCCCGAGTGCCACACATCACACAACTTAGCTCAATCACCAAAAATGCCCACCTCCTCCTTCCTCGGCTCTCCCCTCTTCCTCCCGCCGTCCTCCACCTCCACCTCCACCTCCACCAACAGCCGCCACGCCGCAATCCAAATGTCCCTCAGCCCAAACCCCATCGCCAACCTCGCGAAACTCCTCTGGGGCCCGTCCCTCCCGCCCAACCTCCTCATCTCCAGCGCCCGCTCCGCCTGGTCCGCCGCCTGGAACCTCATGATGTCCCAGATCGCCCCCTCCGACCCCTCCACCGGCGCCTACTCCCGCCCCGCCTCCCAATTCCGCCGCCCCTCTCCCCATTCCCCGCCGCCCACGGACCTCCACCTCTACGTCGGCCTCCCTTGCCCCTGGGCCCACCGAACCCTAATCGTCCGCGCCCTCAAGGGCCTCGAATCCTCCGTCCCCGTCTCGATCGCCGCCCCAGGCGAAGACGGCTCCTGGCAGTTCAAGGAGAGTAACACCAGTGCCCCTGAAAATGAAAACTCGAACCCTTATTATTTGGTACCCGGCCCGGACAAGGCCAACCGGTGCAAAACCCTAAAGGAAATCTACAATCTTCGCCTCGGAGGGTACAGAGGCCGATCCACAGTCCCGATGCTTTGGGATTGCAATCGGAGGGAGGTCTTCTGCAATGAGAGTTACGATATTATCCAGATATTCAACTCTGAAATGAACGAGTTATCCTCCAATCCGGGATTAGATCTTTCTCCTCCGCACTTGAAGGATAGGATTAACGAGTGGAATCGGATAATTTACCCGAACGTCAACAATGGAGTTTATAGGTAACTACTGGCCCAAAAACACTACTTATTGAATGCTTAATGGTGTCAAGGTCTTTTAGTTAGTCTTTAGGTTTGGGATTGATTGTGTAGGTGTGGGTTTGCCCAGAGCCAAGAAGCATATGATGTGGCGGCAAATGATTTGTTCGCGACTTTAGATATGGTGGAAGAGCATTTGGGGAGTAGTCGGTACTTGTGTGGTGGAATGTTGACACTTGCAGATGTGTGCTTGTTCACAACGTTAGTTAGATTCGATTTGGTGTACAATGTGTTGTTCAAGTGCACCAAAAAGAAGCTGATTGAGTATCCTAACCTTCATGGGTACATGCGAGATATTTACCAGGTACCGTGTGAATATTCATATTCTGCTAGGCATAAAATACTACTGATAGTGATAGAAATATAGAATGCCTTTTTAACATTCTAACTCGTCTTCCATGTCTTCAACAACAGATTCCGAAAGTTGCAGCAACTTGCAATTTAGGAGCAATTATGGATGGATACTACAAAATCCTTTTCCCACTTAACCCGGGCAGCATTAGACCTGCAGTTCCTTTTGCCTGTGAACACGAGATGCTTATGAAGCCCCACAACAGGGAGTTCCTTTCATCGTCATCAGTTGAAAATGGTAAACAGATGCTGGTTTTGTAATAAGCCCACATGTCTGGTAAACCAGAGTCACTTACTAGGCATGGGTTGCATATTCTGCAATCCATTTGAGTTTGTATTATATGTACAGTAATTAGAGTATTAGATCAAATGAATAAACCAGAACATAAGCATTTAGGGCTCTTTTTCACTGCATGACCTATAATGTTAATCACTTTCTAAATGTGGCTGGAATGAGTAATGAACAAGTTTAAAAATGAAAAAATGAAATTTGAAACGGAAATTAAAGCATATATCTAAATTATTAATTTTAATTACATGAGGTTTTATTTCTTGCAATTAATTTATTTCATCTCAGTGATTTGATTAAGATCTTTGAAGTAGGAAGCTGATAAACATACCCACGCAATTAATTTCTTCAGAGTATGAATAAGAAGAAGAAGATAAACAGATCAACCATTTCTTCCGTGGCCTTCTCATTTCTTATTGTGAAGAAGGCCAGCTGCATCTCCAATTAAATTTCACGCAAATTACTTGATGTGGAACAAGTTACTTACAACGATAAAATAAGTACTATTGTATTGTAAAATCATGTGATTTGTGACATTGTAGTAATGAGAAAATATATGTATCGAAAAAGCATATGACTTGTTACATGGTAATAGTGGGAAAATAAATCTAGTTATCTGCAATTTAAATCACAGCCCCTTGGTACCTATTTCCAGAAAAAAGAGGGAAAGAAAAGGAAATGGTAACATGAAGTATGGAATCCCCACAAATGACTGCCTTTATCAGTTGCATTTACAAAGATTCTCATGTTTTTTTCTTCATTTCTTTATTTTTAATAATATGCTATTTTTTAAATTTTAAAAATAATCTACATTAAATAAAAGGTGCATAAATTTGGGGAATATTTTTAGCTACATTTTATATTTCATTATTTGCTTGAGTTCATTTATTATTTTAATTAATTCTTACTATTTTTATAAATTTGAATTTTGAAATGACATCAAACGATTCTAACCGCAATGATTTGATCCATTCGTACCCAAAAGAAAAGATAGGAAAGCTTTAGTCAGCCTTCCCCAAATCCCAAAAACCCTAATTCTTCCCAAATCTTCCTCGCCGTCTAATTTCCATCGCCTTCCCCAGTGGGGCTCGGGAGTACACACGGTGGTGATGTTACCGGGTCACGCGGCCCGCTTTCGAAAGTTGCTCCGCAAGGAGGGGGTCTTCTTCGTCGGGGAGACTATTGTGCCTGCATCCTGGTTCTGCCGTCTCTGGTGCTGGGAATGAGTGGCGGGCGGCCGTTTTGCCGTAATCTTCGTTGTGGCGGTCTGATGAATAATCGTGTATCTCCTCAACTCGTTTGCTTCGAAAGTTGCTTTGCCGCGGCTTCCTTCTCGACGATAGGTGTGGACGACTCGGATTGCTCCTTATCTTCTCACGATTTGAGATAGCTCGGGTTTTAATCCTTGCCAAACTCGATTTGTATGATAAAACTCTCACGAATTCTAAACACACGATTTTGCTCTTGCGAACCATTTTTTATTAACTTCAACATATTAAAAAATAGAATGAGTACATTGGGTATTTATAGGAGAAACTAGATCTAGTAGTCTATGGAAAATATATCTAGTCGTAACTAAATATCTAATATCCTAATAAACCAAAACTCTTCACGGCTAACATAAATATATCCTAACATAAACTAATCCTAACTAACTCACGGCTATACTAACAATTATCTAATCTAAACATGCCAACTCACTCCACTAACATTATAATAACAAATCTAATTACCTAACAATCTAACATACTAACAATTACTAAAATACTATAATCACTAATCTAACATCAATAAGCCACAAAGACTCACGACACTAATATATATAATCTACTAATAAACTAACTGTTAATCTTCTAGAATATTTCGGCCACGTCTTCTCGAATATTCGGCCCTCAAGTCGCAAGCCTTGCGCATTCGTACATCACATCCGCGCACACCCCCGCGTGCTCGGTCGTTCGGTGCCTTTGGGCCGTTGCTAGCCCCTCGGCCTGCTAGGCCCACTCTCACCAAGCCCATGCTAGTCCCGCTCACGCGAGTGTCTCGATCCAGGCCCGTCCCTGTGTATGCGCCCACGTCTAGGCCCAACCGCAAGTCAGCCCATCACGTGCATCCATGCCTTGTCCTTCCGCGAGAACTTCGGTCTCTTACGCATTTTCCCATCCTCGCGCGTCTGTGCTGTACGTCCGCTCGCACCCGGCGGATCCGTCGCCTCCGACCTTCTCGTGCACGTGTCTCATACCGGGTCTCACCCAGTCCTCATCGTCGACCTGCAGGGTTCCCAGGTCTTGGCCATGCGCGTCTCGACCTCGTGTGATAAGCTCGAGTCCTTGCCTTCACTCGGAACTTTCGCCTGCTGTCTCGAGTCGTGCCTCGGCATATCGATCTCCTCAGCCGTGTACGGGTCCACTCGTATCGTTCCTTTTGTGCTCGTGCGCCTCGCATACGGGCTCGTACCCGTCTCTTAGGTCATGCATGTGTGGTTTTAGCCCTTTTTTCGGCCTTCTCGGATCGTCTCCGCCATCAGCTCTCGGCGTGCTCGGACCTCGAAATCCTCATCTTCATCACGGTCCTCTGGCGTCCTCTTGGTGGGGGCTGTGGCCCCAATTTCCCAACCTGGGGATTGGGGTGGAGACGTCGCCCCTGGCTATTTTGTTCTCCTCGGTGTTGGTGCTGGGTGGAGGAGTCGGTTGTCGATGGTGGCCGTGGGATGGGTTGTGGTGTTCGAGGATCGGGTCAGTGTTGTTGGCAGGATGGTTTGGGGGTGTTTGTCTCCGAGTATTAGTGGTGTTGTCTGGTTGAACTGTTGGACGAGGCTTGGGTCCGTTGGTTCCCGACCCAGTTAGGCGTTCCCTTGCAGTTTCTGGGTTGGATTCCTAGGCCGTGACTTTGCCATTATTGTGCTTGTTGTGGCATCCTGTTGCAGGAAGGGCAGTCTGTCTTTGTGTTGTTTATATTGTTTGGTTAGTTTTGTTTAGTTGGTTGTTGTTTGTCGTTTGTTTAGGATTCATGTTTTATGGTTTGGGTCTTTGACCTCTGTGTGCCCGAGTGTGAGCGGGTATTATCATTTTGGGATCGGTTAGTTTCTATTTTTGGAGCTCTGTAGTGTTTTCTGTTAAGTGTTTGTTGTGTTGTTGTTCTAGCGTTGCTAGCGTGATCTCTAGGTGGTCTCTGGATCCGTCCTCCCAGTTCTTAGCTCTAAAATATACCATTCATCTTTGGGATGCTTTCTGTTTCGCACATTTGTGCGCTTTATAAAATCCCTATTAATTCGGGAAAAAAAAATGACATCAAAGAATTGGTAAGTATCAAGTCAACCACTGCACTTCAATGGGCTACCAAAAGAGAACTATTGGTGTTGGTTCTATAATCCAGCATTGAATTTTTATTTTAAATAATTATTTTACTATCTATAAATTTGGAAAGCGGTTGATAGAATAATCTAAAATAGTAACTTTGACTTTGTAATTAAATGGGTTGACTTGCTATCAAAGAAAATATTGTAAACATTACATTAATATTTATAAAAAAAAATGAAAATCAAATTACACAGACCGATTGTAATCGTGAAATTCTGTTAGTAGCATGATTTTCTATATAAATAAAGTGGTATCCATTTTAAAAAATACTTTGTGATAGTTATCGCAATAAAAATTCGATTCTTCATATTAATTGTGAATCATTGGAATTTTTTATTCTTTTGGTAACCAACCATACAACATGTCTTCAAAAAAGCATCTATAAATAGTTTATTTGTTTAGAAAATATTAGTTGAATATGCATGATAAAAATTAAAAATATAATTACAAAATAAAATTTAAAACCAGTTATGAAAATTTTATTATGATATTTATCACAACGTTATAATATTATCTCATTTATCAACATTAATAACAAATTACGGTGATTCTTATTCATTTGGTAACCAATCAGCATATACCAACATATTTTTATTGTACCTTAAAAAAATCATTTAATTAAGTGGATTAGTTTAAACTCAATTGATTTATCAGTAATTCAACTGGTTCAATTTTTCACAATATCAACAGAAATTTAACTATTTATTTTTAATAACATACCAATCTTTATCCTTAATATCATATAGGTCTAATCGGACAATTCACTAGGTATGTGTTCTCCTATTTTGTTGGACATCTAGCCATAAGTAGACCAAAATATGTGTGGGAACATTACAAAATATAAGTACAAAATAAATTTAAATTTAATTGCAAAAATTTATTGATATAACTAGCACAATAATACAATAAAATTTATATCTTAACATTAATAAGAAATCCCTCCGATTTTCTATTGATTTGGTAACAAATCATATACCAAAAATCATATATTTAAGGAGTTCAAAAAATATTCTTTAATTTTATCAATAACTGCACCGAAATATTTTTTTCAAAAATTCATATTCCTGTTTCACAATATCGTAACAAATCTCATATAAATTAATATATTAGAAAGAAAAAATTAAACATTTATAATATACATTATTATAAATTATAAGAAAAAAATAAAATAATAATGACGTAACTAAAAAATAATCATTTTTTAACTTCAAATAATATGTATTGCAGTCTTTTCCGTCTCAGCTAGGCATTTTGGCAGTTTCGGGGGCGGTTCTCAGGTTGCAGACCTTTTTTCTGGGGTTCGTCTTTTGTCCACAGGCTTTAGCTCTATCTAGCTGCTGAGGAAGGATTTTCTTTGTGTGGATGTTTTATTTTTTTAGTTGTTAATTTGTTTGTCTGTAGTGTTCTTTGGTAGGGCTTGTGTTTTTTTGTCTGGGCCGTTGGCCTCTGTACTGATTACCCTGTGAGGGCCGTTCCTATTCTCCTGTGGGGAGCTTGATAGTTTGTGGTTAGGTGTTTGTAGGGTTGAGTNATATTTGAAATAATTTTTCAGTTTTAACACAACTTAGAGAGAGAGAGAGAGATTCTATGAGTATTATTTAATAACAATGTTTAAATATGATAAGTTTGTCATTATTCTTTAATTATAAACAACAACTCTAAAATGACAACTATTTTATAAAAAGTGAATAAACATATAAATCATATATTAAATTATTATACATCATAAGATAAAAAAAAAAAAAAAATAATATTAATATTCAAAACTATTTTTATATTAATCAATATTCTTTCATTGGTTTAATGCATGCAGTTTATAATTATTTTCCCGTGCATCAGACGGGCTACGTATTAGTAATTGTTAAAA